CTAAATCTCAACCTACCCATGCCTCTAAGGCCCTACCAGGCAACTACAGTCAAACCTACTCTGCAACCAAGGTAGCCAGTTACCTCCTCAACCACAATCTCTCCTCCAGGACATCTCTTTGCGGAGTTATACCACCTGCTGGTATAACTCTGTATTTGCTTTCCTAGATTTCTCATTGGACTGAGTCTGATTGCTCTTTAACTTTTTAGTGCTCTGTAGAGTGTCTGGCACAAAGTAAGTGCTGTAAATAAATTAATGTGTATCATCAGCTGATGGCTATGGCCAGTTTTTCCATGTACAATATGTGCCTTCCAGGGTATCCCCCTTTCCTTTGGCTGGCTCCCTCTGATGCTGACCACATGCCATCCGTCAGCACACACTTCTGCCATGTGAACTGTCTCACCATTTCTGAGGTCAGTTTGGCACCTGAACATGGGACAATCCAGGTGGTAGAGCAGAAACATACTGTTCTGAGTCCTAAAAGGCCCTCCTTTTGTCTAGGAGACATCATGGACAAGGTTCTCTTATCTTGGTATGTGTTTTCCACCAGGTTCTAGTCTTTTTTGGTTTGTTCTGTTCCATGAGTAAATTGAAATGCTTAATAGTTAAATAGAAGCCTAAATGTTATCTGAAAACAACAAGAAAATTTGCAATTGCAAAGAAACAAAACAATATGCAATTAAAAACACACACAACTAAATGGAGAAAAATAATGTTAGTATTTATCTCTGGGTAATTACATTGTGGTTCCTTTTCTTTGTTTTTTTTTGTTTTGTTTTCAAAATTGTCCAAATTAATCTGTATTACTTTAATCTATATCATTATATTTTAAATTTTATTGTGGGTGTTTCCTAATTACATCTTACAGATTGTTTTGTTCTATTATGGAACTCACTATCAAATACTTCAATTGCTGTTGACCACATAAATCTGACATTAGAGTGTTCCAATTAAAGCTGCATAAAAACAGAAATCTCAAAGGAAAAATTGCTCAGAGGAATTAATTACAGCTTAACAAAATAGAGAAAATGGATACTTAATTCATTATTTCAACATTACTGAGTGTGTTTCATGTGTTGGGTAGTTTGCTAGATGTTAAAAAATTAATTTGATAGTAATACACATTCAGAGCTGGTAGGAATCTGAGAGACCACTGAGTCTGAAGTTCTTTGTTCATAGACAAGGAAACAGAATAATAGGAGAAAATGCCAGGGTTGACCTAGAACATATGTGAAGACAAACATAGTTTCTGCCCTCAGTCAGATCAAGATACCCACAACTAAAATTTGTGTCAAGCTCTAGCTGGTTTGGCTCAGTGGATAGAGCATCGGCCTGGAGACTGAAGGGTCCCAGGTTCAATTCTGGTCAAGGGCACATGCCCAGGTTGTGGGCTTGATCCCCAGTACAGGGTGTGCAGGAGGCAGTTGATCAATGATTTTCTCTCATCACTGATGTTTCTATCTCTTTCTCCCTCTCCCTTCTCTCTGAAATCAATAAAATATTTAAAAAAAAATTGTGTCAAAATGCTTAAAGAGTAAAGGCAGGGGTGTAACAGTACCATGGAGAAAGGGTCTCTGCCCCAGATTAAGGGACAGCAAAGGAGGCCTATTAAAGACACTTACATTCTATCTGAGAACCAAAGAAATGAGCAGAAGCCTGCCAAGTGACTACACAGGAATGGCCAAATGCCCAGAGAGAACTGTATACAAAAGCCCAGAGTTATGAGACAGCAGCAGTGCCTGCTTAGAGACTGCCCCAAAATTCAGCCTGTCTAAGGCAGAGAGGGCGCAGTGGTCTGGAGTGGCATGGGGGCGCAGGAGGAGATCTGAGAGTGAGGGGGAGTTGATGAGTAGGTTGCAGAGGAGGGAGGGTATATGTTCAAGTGCACAAGCTGGGAATTGGTAGGGCTGCCAGTGATCATATGAGAAGGGCTTTACATGCGCCAGCAGAATATGTGGCTTTATCTCTAAGGCTCTGTGATGGCAACAGATAGACTTAAGCCTATGAGTAGCATGAATTGCCTGGATTTTAGGGGTTAATGCAGGGAAATCAGTTAAGGAGTGACTGTCATAATCTTATTGAGAGATTGGTTGTTGAGGAGATAGCAGTGGAGAAGGAGAAGTAAGAATAGACCATGTTATTAGTTCAACACAAGGTCACAAGTATATATATACACTGTTCTGATCATAAAGTAAGTTACTACCTCTTTTATGTGGGCCAAAAAAACAAGATACAAATATTAATTAACATCTTAGAGCTTATACCTTAAAACCAAAATAAGTACTCATTGCCAGGTTAAAAATTAAAGGGCTTTGTAAAACTGTTTACTCTTTAGCTTCATAAAACTGTTCCTTTTGTTCCCTAACAAAAAAATATCAAACAAAATAAATAGATGGACAAAATAGGAATAAAAGTTACCTTGGCCTCATGAATTAAAATCGCTCACATAATGTAAATGACTATAAAAAACACCTAATTTTACATAAAAAAGAGTCATAATTGAAACATTAATTCTTTGATACTTTAAAAATAAATGGATTTGCATATAATATGAAATTATTTTGGAAATGTATATTCTCTGGGATTCATATTCTTTTGTTTTCTGCTTTCCAGTAGATGAGTAAATCACCTAAATGTAGGATTCCATGGCTTTCCCAATTACTTCACACTCTTAAAACCTTTATTATTCTATATAAGTCCCTTGAAGGAGGAAAGAATAGAGACAATAGGATGTCATGTAGCTTCTATCATCACCAAAATTTTTATCTCCCTTCAAAATACACCAACTTCGGCATAATGGATCTTTATAGACCGAGATATTTCCTGGTTTGTCTGTAACCATTGCAGGCTACTAACTACTTGAATATACTGTATCTTTTCTTTCAATCGTTCAAAATGCTTTGATAACAATTAAACTTCAGTTATCTATCACATCTAACCATAACTGATATGGAATGTGGCATATATAAAAACATCTATTTATCTACATATGGGAACAGTTATAAAACCACATTTACTTTCTCACAGAACAGTTTGGGAATTTAAAAAGCAGGCAGTATTCTACCTGGATGAGGAAACTAAAACAAAATATTTTGTTACTACTCACAGAGAAAAACTGTGGGGAAGTGGGGGGGAAAAAAACAACTATCTCTGAAGCCCATTTCAGTGTTGAACAGCTGAAGTTTCAGGATATAGATTCAGGTATTAATCTCTAGCCAAGCCTTTGAGAAAGTTATTTTAAACCTCAGCCAAATTCACTGTTTTAATTATGCAAAACTCACTCGTTTAATAAACCCACTCTACAGCCCACTGCTCAAAGTCTTTAACAGCAGGATTCTAATAGAGCCAGGTCCAAAATGGAAATGGTGCCATCTGCATCACCCCACCCGCTCCGGCAGCACTGCTATTAAATTAATCGTACAGTCTGCAGGATAAAACAGCAGAGACCCCACTGGTGTGGAACCAGTTGAGTTTCTGTTTAACCCCCAGCAGATAGAAACACAGAGCCAGCTCAGTCGCGGCTAGTCAATCTGTACCTAAGAGCTGTGTCCAATTTCCCTGACCAACGGAATTAAGAACCAAAGAAGGAAAGGGAAAAGTAAGAAGACATTAGTTCCCTGGCTACAAATATAAATAGGTTTCGATTGAGTAAGCTTCAATGTCCCTGATTGTATAAGAATTGGCTGGCCAATATAAAATGAATTTAAACAATAGGATTAAAGATAGAATGTCTGCAGCATGAGTCCAGGTCTTCACAAAAGGAAGGACATGAAGCATATCTTTTTTAAATGACATTTTAAATATATATTTACATATTGGTATAATTTTAGGTAAATTATTACTTCTATTATTTGAAACTGTACTATTTTGCAATTTTGATATTTACTACAGGTCATTTTGCATTATCCAGTTTTGACATAATAAATATTAGACGACATTCAATTTTTATCCCTCCAAAATTCTTTTACTTTCTGTCGGTATCACACAATAATAGTAATTATGTTTTCTTTCTGCCCTGGCAAAAATTAAAATGGTCAGTTTCACCCAAAACTCATGGGAAACTGACCATTGAGGAGACCTGGACATATTTAGAAATATGTTTTTTGCTTTCCATGTTTCTTTAAAGTTATATGACTCCCTCCAAACACACACACACACAAATTAGGCTTGTAAAATGAGCAAGACAATGCTGGTCATGCAGCACTGTAGTAACTGGGTTCAGCTCACTTGAAAGGGATATTAATCATCATGCCTCACCTTCCATATCCCACTTAATGCTTAGTAAGAAAGTTGTAAGGCCTTGCAGTACGTAGTGGGTAATTTAATGACTGCATTTCTATACCAAATATTTTAAAGGTATTGCATGGAATAAAAGAATTCAAGGTTAAGATAAATTGAACCCTCACTCATTATAGTATACTAGAGGCCTGGTACACGAATTCGTGCACAGGTGGGGCCCAGCCATCCTGTCCTGATGGGGGCCCATCAGGCTGGGCTGGTGGGGGGGAAGGGCTGTGGGCAGTTGACGGCCAGCCCCGCCCCCAATCAGGGTGTTGAGGGCCAATCGGGGGCAGGGCCTGCTGCGGGGGGAGGCCAATCAGGGCCCGGATCAGGCTGGTTGGCTGCTGCAGTGCATGTCATAGCCACGGTCATTCTGGTTGTTCTGGTTATTCCGCCATTCCAGTTGCTGGAATTTTATATATATAGATTATTAAAAATGTTTGCTAATAAGTCAAAAATATGATTGTGGTACTATCTTAGTAAATATTGGATGTAGATAATTTAAAGATTATCATACATTTTGAAGTTATTTCTATTCTAATCATTAAACATTATTTCTATATGTGTGCCTGAAGTTAAATGAGAAGTAAATGTACTTATTTAAACACTATCAAAAATTAAAACAAAAGAAGACTAAATATGAAAACTTCCCTTTCTCATATAAATGTGTATATATACACTAAATAAAAATTAAAATAAACACAAAATTAAACATTTACCTTTAGTTTGAAGTTTCCTTTCAGGTTTCTCCTCTTTTTCAGTTTTTTCTTTGCGTATTTCTAGGGGAAAATAGAATTTATAATTTAAAAAGTCTTTTTGAAAATGTGCAAAATATAGACAATAGCTATGACTCCATAGCTATTCACCATGATACCTCAATCATTATATCTAACAATAACAAACAAGCTTACAGATGCCTAAAATGAAAGATTTTATAACATATTGCTACAAAAAATTACTCATTTATTGAAATAAAGAAAAAATGTGAATTACCTCAGATTAGAGTTATATGAAAAAGTTTAAAAACTTATATCAATGGAAATATATTGTCACTGTTTTCAGTGTAAAAATTGATCCCAAAGTATAATTATGTTTTATATCAGTTACTCTCTTTTTAAAAATATATATATTTTTATTGATTTCAGAGAGGACAGGAGAGGGAGAGAAAGATAGAAACATCAATGTGTGAGAATCACTGATTGGCTGCCTCATGCAAGCCCCACACTGGGGGTCAAACATGCAACCCATGCATGTGCCCTGACTGGGAATTGAACCGTGACCTCCTGGTTCATAGGTCAATGTTCAACTACTGTGCTACTCCGGGCAGGCTGTTTATATCAGTTACAAATTAAGAATACTTAGCAAGAATGTCACTTAGATTTAGGAAGATTTACTTTTTACATATTAAATTAAGAATTTGTGAAACGAACTGTAACAACTATCTCATAAAATATGTATATATCAGAAGCAGTGACTCTAAGCTATATTTATAATCAGAATTTGGTATTTAATTTAACCAATAATTACTGTAAGCAGATATGACCCATTTCATAAAATAAGTTAGTCGTTACATTTTTCTAAACATCAGGTTTTAAGAAATATATTTAATTTGCTGCTAGCTTCAGTACATATGCATTTGCAAGGATTAGAAAATGAAGTTAATTCTGAATTTGCAGTTAATTTGGATAGATGTAATTTGAGATTAGAGTTTGCAAATATGATTACTACCTCTGAAAAGTGACTTAATCTTAAATTCCATGGTTTTTCTTAGGAAAATGCTAATGAGGTTTACTTATTTAATTATCACAACTTTATCCCACAGATGGTCTGTCATGGTGCTAATTACTGTATATATTTTAAACTCTCCATTTGTAAATTAAACTTTAAATTTTGGTAATTTTTCTATAAGTTTAAAATCAAGACTAACCATAAGGAAATCCTAAATATCTTCAGAAAAGACAGTTACTGATTCCTGTTCTTCTGTTAAGGAGGTAACCACCACTGTGAAGATTTCCTTCCCTCATTTTTCCTCATTAATTCATCATCAGACTATGCAGGGCCACTGCTCTACCCTTATTCCATCCCTGACTTTGAATATGGCAATAGAGATATGGCAATAGAGATATAAAAGAGGTAAGATACTCACATCTCTTTAAAAACACAATTCACTAAGGTGCCAGGAAAGATCTCCATAGGGCATAGGAAACGTTCATCTTCCTGGATCTCTGGTTTTTTTTGTTTTGTTTTGTTTTGTTTTAATTTCTTCCTTATATGTCTATAGATCCTACTTCAAAGCAGGGTTTGTCATCTTAGCATCATTGACTTCTTGGGTTGAGTGGATCATTATTTGGAGTGCAGTGGGCCTATTCTGTGCACTCATGGTATTTAGCAGCACCTCTGGCCTCTATGAACTCAATGGCTATAGTCTCATCCCTAGTCATAACTATGAAAAATGTCTTTAGACCAGTGGTTCTCAATCTTCCTAATGCCGTGACCCTTTAATACAGTTCCTCATGTTGTGGTGACCCCCAATTTCATTGTTACAAATTGAACATAATTCAAGCATAGTGATTAATCACAAAAACAATATGTAATTATATATGTGTTTTCCGATGGTCTTAGGCCACCCCCGTGAAAGGGTTGTTTGACCGCCAAAGGGGTCGTGACCCACAGGTTGAGAACCACTGCTTTAGACGTTGCCAAGTGCCCCTGTAGGGCAAAATGATCCCCAAGAATATGTTGAGGTGGCTCAGAATTATATTTCTTTCGCTTACCCTTTTGCATTTGGGTTCTTTAGTATTTTCATTATTGGGTAACAAAAATAGCGTTGCATCGTAATGTATCATGTAGAACTACATGTGTGGAAACTTTTGATCAGTGTTTTAAGAAATGTATTGTGTTTGCAAAGGCATAATAAAATTTCATCTTATAGATGAAAGGCAAAAAAAAAGCTAACAGTAAATACACACACACACAGAACTGGTATCTTTAGAACAGTTTTAAAGACACAAGATAATCAGCCCAATTAGTTTATCACCATGCAGATTTACACTGTCCAACGCAGTAACTACTAGACACATGTGAACATTAAGGACATGATATGTGGTTGGTCCAAATTGAGATGTGATATAAGGATAAGTACACACTGGATTATGAAGACTTAGTGGAAAGAAGAATGTAAAATATCTCATTAATAATTTTACATTAGTTACAGATTGTAATGATATAATGTTGGATATAATGAAGTGATGGTTTTAAATTTATGTGTCATCTTGGCTAAACTACTATTCCAAGTCATTTAAATGAACACTACTCTTAAGAGTTGCTGCAAAGGTGTTTTGCAGATGTAATCAAAATCCCTAATCCATTGATGTTAACTAAGAAAATGATTCTGGATCATCTGTGCGGGCTTGTCTGATTCTATTGGGAGGCCTTGCAAACTGACCTGAGGTTTCTGAGGGAAAGGGAAGAAATTCTCTCTTTGGCTACGGTTTTGGTCCCTGCGTGTGGGCTCAAGTTTTCCCATGACCTTCCCTTCCTGACTTATATAGTCAGTCCCCACAATCACATAGGACAGCTCCTTATAATGAATGTCTCAATATAAAATATATTAGCAAAATTTCCTACTGGTTCTGCTTCTCTGGGTGAACCCTGATATCCTGATTGGAGTAAATATGTTATTAAAATTAATTTTTATAATTATTTTTACTTTTTTAATGTGGCTCCTTAAAATTTTTAAATTACATATGGGGCTCACAATTTATTACTATTGGACGTCATTGGTCTAGTCTTATGGGTGGGCAAATGATCTCTTTTAAAATCTAAAGTCATCTACAGGGTTAAATATTTTACAAGTGAATTGAAAAACTAAACTTAGAATGTCCCCCTGCCAATGCTATCCTACTTCCTTCCTCTGATGCTAACCAACAAGGGCTGTGGAGAGGATTGGCTCCTTGTATAATTTAGGCCAAAAAAAAAAGCAGTATATTGTCAAAGACAAGAGTCTTTGGATATGTTAAGGGAGTCACCTTAAGAAATGATTTCTTACTCCATGTAATGATGAATTTGAATACAGAAAAGGGATGAAATATTATAAATTAAAATGTTACATGAAATGCTACATTCATTGTGAAATGAGAGGCTTTAAAATGGTCATTTAGAATAGTTTTCCTTTAGAGGTAGGGGTGTGTGTGTGTGTGTGTGTGTGTGTGTGTGTGTGTGTTCCACACACATCTGTTGGCCCCTCAGAAGAATAAAAGAGAGATTCCGGAAATCACACAGGAGGATTAGACTTGAGTTAGAATCTCTGCAGGATTCGGTGCTAACGACATCCTGCCTGGAAATCCTTCACAGCCCCCCAGCCTGTCTTATTCTGGGGAAATACAGTGCTTGGACAGGGTGGTGCTCTAAGGGACTAGGTCGGCTGTGTTGGTGCACAACAGTGTTTCCTGCAAGGTAGGTGGAGGCTTGTGCATGAGGAAACTCTATGGTTAATAGAGTAAACACAACCTAATTGTGTAACTCAGACCAGTTTCAAAGATAAAGCCCCATTTATTTATTTTTTTATTTTATTTTTTGCTGATGCTGCACTTCAGCCTAATCCAAACCAGGACAACCCAATGATCTGAGCAGATTCACTCAGCGTTTTTGCAAGTAGAAGTTATAGATACACACACACACACACACACACACACACACACACACACACACACACACACACATCTCTGCAGCTCCGAATGAGCAGAAATACGACAACTTATATGAGCATTTTTTTTGCAGGAACATCACAAATTGATTTTTTTTTAACTGATGTTCCTTTGAAGACCCTTAGTACTTCTATGGAGGCAAGTGTGGACAAGCACAGCTAACCTTGTAAAAGCATACATACACCTACATTCGTTTCTCATAAAGTACAAAAGGAATTCATTTCTGATGATTCAAACTTAAGGATAAGTTAAATGCCTCTGCATCTTTTGTTGCCACATTGCATTTTCTCTGCGGATTGGATTCCATCACTGGTGTCACCCTCTGGCTATCGGATGTCTGAAGAATCCAGTAAAGCCTCTGCACAGTGTGCCAGTTCTCTCTCCACACACTTCAGCCAGGAAATGATGACCATCCAGGCACCAGTCCAAATGAGTACAACATGCTACCAATTTAGACTTCACAAGCAGCTGATGCCTGCTTTGTTACTCTCCATTGATCTTGTCAACTAAGAGCCATTTGTATACTAGTAAGAACACAAAATTAAATTTAAAAGATTTAAATTGGTAAAGTAGAAATTTATTGCTCTATGGTTTTCAGCAAACTTCAAACAAAAATAAAATTCCTTCTATTATATTAATACTAGCTTCTAGTTATTTAATAATGGCCATAGACAGGTGACTGCTTCCACTGTGTATAAAATGACAGCAATGTATGACAGCAAAAAAAACCTGCATGTAACATCATGCCAGTCTAAGAACAGTTCACTTGGACATGAACCAATCCCGGACACAGGGACAAAGAAGAAAGTCAAAACAGTCACTATTTATCTCCAAATATGTGTGCTTTGCAATTAGGTTAGAGACCTGTAAGTCTCAGCATCCGGTCCTGGTTAGAATCATAAGCCATTTTGGTACCAGTAAAGCTTAAAGATTGTTTTGTAACTTATAAGGTCCAAGATTCCCTTGGTGGCCCAAATTAGAATGCTTCAGTATAATGCAGAATTTTCTGGTCTCCTAGTGAATGCTGCACATTCTACGGGGAGCACATAATTACTCAATAGACCAGCAATTTT